CTGACGGCCAATGGGAACTGATATCTAAACTGTAATGGAAGGTGGACTGCTCCACGTAAGTACGTACGCTCTTGAGCTATCACTCACAGGGCCCAGGATGTGGGAGGCACCATGGAGAGGTGGGCATGGGATATCAGAAGGGAAGGGTCCCTTGCGGGGAGATCTTGCCGATCTAGGCGTATGATTCATGAGAATTGGAAGAAATCGTTTCTAAATGTCTGGCCTAAAATCCTAGCTGCCCACTGGGTTTCATCTTGCACTCATTTCTTCCTTCTTTGTATGATTATCTGAATGCCTTCTACAAGTCCCTCTCCTCTCACGGAGCTGTCTGAGGGTCTGATTCTATTGGTGGTAGCTCCCTCCAAAACCCAAACCCAAACCCAAACCCAAACCCACTGCCATTGAGTTGATTCCAACTCATAGCAACTCTGTAGGACAAAGTAGAACCAAACTATAGGTTTCTACTGGTTCCATAAATCTTTATGGAAACTGACTGCCATATCTTTCTCCCATGTTGCGGCTGGTGGGTTTGAACTGTCGACCTTTCAGTTAGCTGCTGAGTGCTTTCACCACTGCACCACCAGGGTTTCTTGGTAGCTGCCTCAAGCCGTGGGTTTCTGAGAAAGGTTATGCAACCCCAGGCAAGGTCAGTGGGAAGAGCCATGGTAGATTGGGGGTCAGGGATGAAGATGGGATGGGATAGGATATGGGCTGCACATACTGTGTATCTGCCAACCTGTCTTGGCTTCTAGGTGAGTTCCCACAGGTAACCTGATGTGTGGACGTGGCAGGGTCGCCATGATCACCCAAGTCTTGCAAGGGAATGAGCAGAGGCTGGGGGAGGGGAGGTGTGCAGCAAAAGTATGAGCAGCGCCTCTTCCCCTGATCTGCTGCAGCCAGAATCTGTTCTTGACTTCTACACAGAAAGGGAGGTAACTGTTCTGGCTCACAAATCACCCTGGTCCACTCATGATGTTTCTCCATCCTGGTGTAGGATGCAGATGCCTTACCAGTATCTACTACGGAATACTAAGCTTCCCATGGAGAGACTGGGAAGGTGGACATGAAGAGGTGAAAATCTGGAAGATGGAGAAAGAAAACATCTTAAAGGAGACAGGGATTTATCACAAATAAAAATGTGCCACCCTAGTGAGTCCCCATTTGCTGCCTTAATAACCCTTTCGTGCCCAGTGGTATATATAGTGACCGTGAACTTTTTCGGCTTCTGGGGTTTGCTGGGAAGCTGCTGTACCATTGACAGTGTGTGCTGCCACAAGGCAGGGGCCTTTATGACTGGTGGAAACTGAACAAATGGGCATGTGCTGCAAATTACTGTTTTTACAGGGTATTGTATGAGGTATCTGAATTTTTGGTAGGAAAAATAGAAATTTTGAAAATTTTTGTTATACGTATGTACCAATAGCCCCAGTGGGGACTCTGGGGTATAATTATTGGTACTTCATATGTACCACTAAACACTTTGGGTATGCTTGTGGGAGGGGGCAAGAAAAAAAATCCACGATACCTACAAAAAATCCAGACACACTCAATGATTCAGCATGCTGCTTCCCTTAATGAAAACACATGGTATCAACAAAAAATTCAAAGCAGCAAATAACTGGGTCACCAAAGGGTTAAACTGCACACCTAGAGTTTGCTGGACAGAATGACTTGTCTGTGGGCCTCTGATAAATACTTAATTCACTCAAATTCATATTCTTATTAGAGGGGTCTTTTAGATTTGACAACTCCCCAGCTCTTTCACTCCCGATTTTCATTACACTGAATTCCTCTTGTCTTCACAGCTCCCTGCAGCACGAGTTGGCTAATGACGCCTGGGCCCCTAATGGCATGCCAGGACAAAATTCTGCTGAGCAGAGACTTTCCTGGGCTTCGTGCAGAGATGCAAAGATGGCTTATAAAGAAAAATAATGAGTCAGAAGCTGATTAAGCATCAATCAATTCTATATGTCTCTGAACCTCTTGAGGAGGGAGAGACTTGCTTGTCTCTCAAATAATGAGCCTGAGACTCTCATTTGTTCTGCAGACATTTGCTTCTCTGCACCTCCAGCTCTCCACTTTCAACATGGGGTGGAATAAATTGCTTTTAAAGTGCTCTGAGACATAGAGGATGGAGCTAGAGGCAGAAAGAGTTATAAATGTAAAGACTGACTGGTCTTTAGCGTCATTATTTCAAAGCCCAAGATTCATTCGTTTCAGGGCCTGCTGCTGTGTTCTGGGCAGAAAGGGTGACTTGGCGATACACTGCCTCGTTTTCATCATATTTGCCAATTGTTTTAGCCATAATTCCACTCTGAGTATTTTCATATAGTCTAGTCAGATGAACATGCAACATATAATGGGATCAGTGACACCTGCTGAATGCACAGGTTTTTCAAGGATGGATGCCATGCCCCTCACATCCAGAATTCGACCGTGATCCTGAGTTTAGGGCAATCCTTGACATCATGGCTTGAGCTACCTGGGCCTCTCCTCTGTCCTCCCCTGGACATCAGGGCTCTCAGTCTGGCCTATTTCCCATTCTCTGACAGAGTAAGTGGATGGTAGGGAGCAAGTGTTCTTTTAAAATTTACAAGGCTGAGTAAGACATCCACGAGGTTAGGTTAATAGAAGTGTGTGAGACAGTAATGACATGCTGCTGAAAAACAGCTCTGCTAAATGTTATTTTAAAGGAGCTTGAGCTGTTCCCACAATCGTACGTAGGGAAAAGTAAAACGAGGCAAACGGCAAAGATAGCATTTCCACAAAAGAGCCTCGACATTCTGACGACGAAAATATCCACCTGAGACAGAAGGTGAATGGGAAGCAAAGGGTAGGAACCCTTCCCTCCAGATCACCACACACAGTTACCAGACTACACAAAAACTTCCAAGGAAATAAAATCTTAATTAAAATAAACAAGGTCTCTGGCCAAGCTGCTAACAACTTTGTCAACTATTCTAGTCACCCCATCATGCAAACGACTTGGATCTAGAAATGACTGAATGCATTTATGGGTGGAGAAATTGAGGCAGGAAGGACTGTATATTCATTTGGCTGGTGGGTGTCCATTAAGTGTTCTTGAAGTTGGGCTTTCTTTATGAGGATGGTCTGCTGAGGACAGGAGACCCTGGGGGGTGCATGGTTAATGCTTTTGGCTGCTAACCAAAAGGTTGGTGGTTCAAGTCTACCCAGAGGTGCTTCGGAAGAAAGACCTCTTGATCTACTTGCAAAAAATCAGCCTCTGGAAACCCAATGGAGCACAGTTCTACTCTGACACCCATGGGGTTGCCATAAGTTGGAATCAACTCGATAGCAACTGGTAGTATGCTGACGACTTAGCAGATCTTGTGATTTGCAATAAAACAAACAAACTGGGAGTTGGGGCCAGCTCCAAGGCTTACTTGATCCCTATAACTGTGGGCAAATCAAACTCTGCAGATTCTTTCCTCAGCTATAAAATAAAGTTAACAATAATACCTTCCCTGCCTGCCTCTTAAGTCTGTTGTGAGAATCAGATGAGACAGCATATGGGAATACACTTTCTAAAAACCATGTGTCACACAACGATTAGAAATCACCAGTATGCCATACAGTATACCCAGTGAGCCTCTCTTCCCTACCTTGAAAATAAAAACAAAGTCAGGTAGGGGCTGGAGTTGAAAAATTCACTACTGATAATAAGCTTCCCTATGTTTCAGAAAATGTAAGGTGAGGATCCTGTCTGTCTCATTCACTCTTGTATCCCTTGCACAAAGCCTGGCACATAGAAGCTGCTCAGTTAGTATTTGTTAAATTCAAATACAAGATTTTATTAATAAGCCTGAAAGAGCTTGTCTAAGACATTAAAGCGCCAGCCAACCCTTTAAGGCCAAACTCGCGCCTATTGGCAAGTCCTCTAACTTCACTTAGTATTTCTAGAGTAGAACTGGAGTGCTCGGGTGGCACGAACTGTTAAACACTCAACTACTAGCTGAAAGACTGGCGGTTCAAACCCACCCAGAAACATCTCGGAAGACAGGCCTGGTGATCCGCTTCTGAAAGGTCAGAGCCTTGAAAACCCTATGGAGCAGTTCTACACTGCACACATGGGGTCCATGAGCCGGATCTGACTTGACAGCAACTAGCAACAACAGAACAGAATTACAGAAAGAACACAGAGCATTAACCAGGCTGGACACTGGGTGAACTTCTCCACCCAAAGCACCACGCTCATCACAACACTTCTCTGCAAAATACTTCTCAACTCTCCAGTGGCTCCACCAGCTACCTACTCCACATGGTCTAGACTCTGCCTGTGTCTTTGACAATCAGACCCTCATTCCCTGATCAAATTTTATCTTCCACTATTTTTCCAACATTTAGAATAGCTGGCTTGGTTTCTAGCTCCCTCCTTAATTGCCATCCCCAACTCCGCCACCTGACTCTAACTTCTGTCTGTCTCGAATGCCAAGTGCATCCACCTCCCCCTTATCCTTCATCTCTTGCATCTTTCATGATGCTTTTCCTGCTTCCTGATCCACATTGATTTTTTCCTCATCTGAAGTTATTCCATGTCTAACATACTTGTTGAATGAGGAGGTGTGAGGAAAAGCTGGTAGGGGGACCAATTTCTTGAACAGCGGTGGTGGGGGTAAGTTAAGCACCCTCAGCTTACTGTGTAAGCTGCTTCTCTATCAGAAGGTCTGTCTCTCTAGGGTGGGACCTTATCTTTCCTGTGTGGGCCTCCCCAGCCCCTTGCTTGATCCCTGGAACAGAGTAATTCCTCAATAAAATTTTTTGACCAAATAAGTGAACAAAACTGTAGGCACCTCCTTCCACAATTCACTAACTTTCAGCCTATAGCTGGTCTAGAAAACCACCTCCCAGAAATGACCTAAAGAGATACTGCAGCATCGAAAAGGAAGCAAGAAGATTCTGATCCTCATCCTGACACCAAATGGAAACAAGTCTCTAAATAAGATCACTGGTGAATTTTCAGAAAATGACTACAATTTTACCTTGGTTTCTCGGAGAAGAAATTGCAGGTCCCGGCCACTGAGGATACCATGATTTTTCACGTAACTGGGAATATTCTTGGTGCTAGAGCCGTAGACTGTTGCATGTACTTCCATATATGTGTGAATAATGTCCAAGTAGATCTTCTTATTCTAAAGAGGGGATAGAAGGAGAAGGCATTTCTCGTTTCCTTTCATTCACGTAACAACCTGCTGTCTCATAAGGACAAAACCTGTCCTAAGAGCTGGAGGCCATGAAGACAGCAATCCAGCTCCTGAAATCCTTTAAAAAAAACGATCTGGCTGATTATGAGGGTAGAAACAGTCATATTGCTGGTCTACAACCTTGCAAGAAGAAACACATTATATAGCAAAGTATTACTGAATACCAATGACAGCTTACAGCCAACTGTTTGGAAGTATCATCCTCGCTTTGTAATTACCAGGGACCCAATACACTGTTTTTGGCTCATCTTCCTTATGTGGGAGGAAGTTTGGGAAAGGAAAGCCCAGAGAAGGCAGTCGGTTGGACTAGAATATTTATTCGGAGATGCTAAACTGTCCCCAAGGAATACAAACATCCCCAGCTCTTGCCAATATTTCTAGTGATGATTAACTCATGTTGTCAGAACTGGACACCACCTAATTCAGATCATGGGGAGATGAGAGTTTCCCACAATATATATTGACTAACTTGGCAGCTGGAGAGATAATGAGACTATCTAGGTAGACAAAAGTGAGAAAAGATAAAGTGTAAAATTTGATTAGCATGGAAACCATCAAGAGTAGTGCTACTTTTCATTAAAAACCAAATCAAACCTCTTTTTCTGTATTTGTAGGCCCTGGATTTTGAGGCATGTTTTCTCTGTCAAAACCAACTGTGGGAAACGGGCAACATTTACTCAAAAGCAAACATGAGAAGGCAAGGAGGGGAAGGGAAGCTAGATCAATGGAAACAGAACAAACAGAAAGGAAATCATGAGAATGCTGACACATCGTAAAAATCATAACCAATGAGAATGCAGACATGTTGTAAAAATTACAACCAATGAGAATGCTGACACATTATAAAAACTGTACCCAATGAAACTGCTGATACACTGTAAAAATTGTAACCAATGGCACAAAACAATTTGTATAAAAATTGTTAACCAAAAACCCATTGCCGTGGAGTGGACTGCAATTCATAGTGACCCGGGGAAGCTAATTTGCTGTGGAAACAGTCACCTAAAACACAATAAAATATTATTAAAAAACAAACCAAACAAACCAAAAAAAAACTCACTTTCTCCCTGAAACACTTCACATCTCCTAGTGACTATGACTAAGTTGCACAAGCTGGATTCTGTGTGTTTTTGTCTGTGTTTTTAAGTTTGAAAGATCCAAGTTTTGTAATGTTTTCCAGTTGTATAAAAGCGGGACTTGGTTTTCCCATTCGAAGCCTGTTTGCAGACACTCCGGGCAAATCTAATAATAGCTGGTTTTGTGACTTAAGCCCACAGGGATACAGGAGATGCAGACTCAGCAGCCACGGAGTACGGAAGAGGAAGGGGAGGCCCGGGAGGAGAAGGGGAGCAGCACTTCTCCGGGGGCGTGGAATGACTGACAGGTGGGCCAGTTCCTCGGTGTCAGAAGTCCTGGTCATGACCTGCCCCCTGCAATTCATTGCACCAGTGGAGAATGTTACATGACTCCCAACTTTGGGGATAGGAAAAAATGGTCATTTCAAAATTATGCATAAAAAGTCTTCATGAGTGGAAAAACTGCAGCGTCCACGTTCTCCATCAGGATGACTTTGTTCAGAATCAAATCCATCTCTGCACCCTGAAAGATGAATAAAATGAACACTTGGACTGAAAGTTTAATTTCATGCCATGTTTTGTGTGGCTGTGAGATGCAAAATTCATTATTTCAGAGATGTATACCCTTGAATTAGTACAGAGGTGACTAGACAGTTTAAAAGCCATGACTTCCATTTGTAGCTTGAGCTAAATTTAGGATCACCTACTGGGTGATGTGCTTCCATAAAGATTACAGCCTAGAAAATCCTATGGGGCAGTTCCACTCTGTCACATGGGGTCACCATGAGTCCAAATCAATGAGACGGCACCTACCAACAACAACCGGGTGTAAATTCATTTGCAGAGCCCTGAGTGGTGCAAACACTTTGCACCTGACTACTAACCTGAAGGATGGCAGTTTGAACCTACCCAGAGGCACTGTGGAAGAAAGGTCCGGGGGATCTGTTTCCGTAAAGATTACAGCCAAGAAAACCCAGTAGAGCACAGTGCTACTCTGTAACACACGGGGTCACCATGAGTCAGAATCAACTTGATGGCAATGGGTTGGGGTTTTTTTGGCCTATGATTAGTTCTTGTGTTAGATGTCACTGGTAAGTCCTGCTCCCTTACCCTCTCTCAGGAACTCTAAACCCACCCACAGCCCCTGGTAAGTAGGAAAGGGGGCTCTGTAACACATCCCCCCACCCTTGCCACAGCCGACCAGCCAGGTGTGTGTCTGACACGAGACCCAGTATAGGCTGGCTAGCAGCCTACGACTGGCTGGCTGGGCTCAGGGGAATGAGCTGAGCCCATCAGATTCTCTTTGGGAACTCCGAGTCTGTGCTCAAAAAGATCACTTCCAGGTGGCTGTGGGCTTTAGGGCAAAAAGGTCATTCAGCGCTGGTGTTTGGGCATCTTGGGCCAAATTACAAGTTCTCAGGAAGCCAGTTGCCAGTTTTGTGGGGTAGGGGTGGGAAGAGAACCAGGTAAGAGCTGAAAAAAGGAAGAAAAAGGGTAGACAGACACTTGGTAGTAAGAGGGACCCAGAAAGAGACCAAGACAGAAACATCAGCTCTGTGAACACGAGAGATGAAGAGATAGAAGGAGAGCGAGCAACAGCGAGAGAAGAAAGAGTGAGAAAAGGTAAAAGAGAGAAAACAGGGCTCAGAGCTGTATCTGGCTCCCACCCCATCCACAGCCATTCCCTAGATTCCCCAGGTCTTTCAAGATCCTCAGTAATAACAACATGAGGGCAGTTGTGGTTCAGTGGTAAAATTTTCACCTCCCATGCGGAAGACCTGGGTTTGAGTCCTGGCTAATGTATCTCATGCTCAGCCACCACCTGTCTGTCAAGTGGAAGTTTGTGTGTTGCTATAATTCTGAACAGGTTTCTGCAGAGCTTCCAGACTAAGATGAACTAGAAAGAAAGGCCTGACAATGTACTTCTGATAATCAGCAGTGAGAACCCTACGGATCACAATGGTCTGATGCACAATCCACTATGGGTATGGTGCAGGACTGGGCAGAGTTTCCTTCCACCACGCATGGGGTCACCATGAATTGGGGGCCGAATGGACACCAGTTAACGCACCAGCAACAGCATAACAGCAGCTGTCAAAATTCTTCCCGATCCCACCCCATGCATTTACTTGAGCTACTCTAGGTGGATTCCTGTCATATCCAAGGAGATCTGGTTGCTCTTTCAGCAGGGATTTGGGTGGGTGGGTGGGGTGATGCCTTTGTCCTTTATGCAGAAGGAGACATTACCCCGTGAAGACAGTCCGAAGGCTCCTTGACTGGCCTTAGTTCACCTGGCACCTGCCCTGGAGAAGAATACTCACTGAAGAGAGACTCAGAATTAGGATCTGGCAGACCAGCTGACTGGGAAGAAAATAAGAGGGTACAGATGTATTGTCATCAAATGCCAGAAAAGGTTGGAGCTCCTTGAAGTACAACAAGGGGGCAAGTTTGGGCAAATATGAAGAAGTATATGTGAAGGCTAATAAACTCTATGAACTTCTTAATATTAAGGCATGGTAAATTACCTTCAGAGAGAACAGATGTAATTTCACAAATGAGAAAATCACAAAAAGTTATGAGGAAAAAAAAGTCTCAAGTTTAACTCTAACCTTTGAAGCTGATGTGACCATTATATGATTCCACCCCAGCTCTCTTATTGTCACTTGTCAGTTCTGTAGAAATCCAGGGAGGTGAGCCAAGCTACTAATTCCAGGTAGTGGTGGACGGGAGGAGCTACTTGTACTGAGTCTCCTGCAATCCCAATGCTTTCACTCTCACTAGATGCTAGAGAAATGCAAAGGTGTCTCTAGTTCACACTTGTTTCCTGAATTTAGGTCCAAATATTCAAATGCCTCCTGAACCTTCCACCTGAGTGTCCTGCCGGCACTTCCAACTCAATAGGTCATCATCTTACTTCCCCAGACCCCTCATATGCTCCTGATCTGTAGCTGCAGTTAATCTCCCACTCAGGTACTTGAGCCAGAATCCTCGGTGCCCTCCTTTAACTTCATACTTGTCATCTCCCCACCCCAATGCACACATGTACATTCACACACATAAACATACTTACACATATATGCATGCACACATGTACACACATAATTACAAATACACACACATACACACACAAATACAGACACACATACACACTTGCAAACACATACATTCACACACATGGGCACACACACACACCAAATTAGTCACAAAGTCCTGTTGACTCTGCCTCTATAATATCAGATGTTGTCTCCTCCTCCCCAGGCCCTACTCCTAGCTCACCTGGACTGCACCAGGATTACTATAATCAGCCTCTGAATATGTCTCCCTGACCCTCGTCCAGTATCTCGATTCACCCTCCTCAAAGGTGCCAGGGATCTTTCTGGATTGCAACTTTGATGAAGTCACTGACCACTGACTGGTGAACCATCACCTACTCAGGAATAAAACAATAAAACCACCACCACCTCCAACCAGTACTATTTACTCAGAGCCCGGCACTGTTAAGCCCTTTTATGTATACTGGTATGTATCAGTACCACTCACATTTTCCCCGTCTGGGGTTTATAGGTATGCTTTTGTAACATTTTTTAATACGTTCTGGTGTTGGGGCAGGACTTCTGTAATTGCATAAACTGGAAGGAAGTTCACTGGCACCATGCTGTTGTGCTGGGAGGTTACTGCAGCAGGTGCTGCAGGCGGGAGGAGTGACTGTGAATGACTTTTGTCTCTTTTTGCCTCTGTACAGCAAGATAAAGCTTGTAAATACACTTGGCCCTCCGTATCTACAGGCTCCGCATCGCAAGTTCAGATCAAAAATATTTGGAAAAGAAAAAAAAGTTCCCAAAAGCAAAACTT